AATTCCTCCAAAGTTTCAAAACAAACACAACCGCGGCCAACACTAAATCATGCGTCGGATAATTCCTCTCATGAACTTTAAGTTGCCTTGAAGCATAAGACACAACATTCTGATTTTACATTAACACATCTCCTAAACCTCTTAAAGAAGCATTACAGTAAACTACAAAAGGTTCTGCCATATTTGGAAAAATCAAAATAGGAGCGGTTGTCAACCTTCTCTTAAGTTCTTGAAAACCAGCTTCACACTGTGCAATCTAAATAAAGGCTTGACCCTTTCTAGTCAACTGCGTCAATGGTAACGCCAACTTGGAAAAACCTTCAATAAGCTTTTGATATTAACCTGCTAAACCAAGAAAACTTCTAATCTCAGAAAAAAACTTCAGAGCTTTCCATTGAGACACAACCTCAATCTTTGATGGATCAACAATAGTACCACCCCTTGATATCACATGACCAAGGAAACTCACTTTCTTCAACCAAAACTCACACTTAGAAAGTTTCGCATACAACTACTTCTCTTTCAATACAAATAACACAATCCTCAGATGCTCAACATGATCCTCTTCACTCTTTGAATAGATAAAAATATCATCAATGAACATAACAACAAACTGATCCAAATATTGATGAAAAATTCTATTCATGTATTCCATAAACACGCCAGGTGCATTGGTCACACCGAACTTCATCACATAATATTTATAGTGACCATACCTTGTCCTAAAAGCAGTCTTCTGAATATCTTCAGTCTTAACTCGAATATGATAGTACCCAGACCTCAAATCAATCTTACTAAACACACTTGTACAACCCAACTGGTCCATCAAATCATCAATTCTCGGAAGTGGATAATTATTCTTAATAGTCACCTTATTCAGCTGTCTGTAATCCACACACAACCTTATAAAACCTTCCTTCTTCTTAAATAACAAAACAAGTGCATCCCACGGTAACACACTCGGACAGATAAACCTCTTCTCAAGCAAATCCTCAAGTTGACTCTTCAAATCTTTCAACTCAGATGTGGACATTCGATACGAAGCCATCAATATCGGACTAGTTCCAGGAACCAAGTCGATCGTAAACTCTATTACACGCTCTGGAGGAAAATCACTTATATCATCAGGGAACACTTCAAGAAAATCACGAACTATCGCATTTCACCAATCGTCCCTTTCCCATCAATTTCCAATTTTGCCATCAAATCCAACAACACAACACCATCTTGCAAAGACTCATTCACTTTACATACTATCAAGCTGGTAAGACAAGCTTATCCCATCTATTATGATCTCGTCTACTATCAACAATAGATTAAGGGTGATTAGTTCCTCAATTTGCTAATAGGTAGTCGACAATCATAATATGGAGCATAAACCATCGTTACCAAACTATAATAACATCCTTTATCTCATGCTCAAAGTTACCTAAGCACCATGGTCCAACTCTTCACACCATAAACATCTTAGGGAAGCAAAACTCCTCCCCCACTTGTTTTAAACCCACTCCTACAACCAAGTGATCAGAAAACAAGAAAGTACAAACAATATTTCACACACATGTCACGTACTAAAGAAATAAACACATTAGTAACCTGGCCACTCTGACCAACCAGACCCTGATACCACTATTGTAACACCCTATAAACCCACATATACATAAATAGCATAATTGGAGTAAATTAGCATACATCTCAAAGAGGGCGCCGCAATTGACTTCACAAAACGATAAAGAAAATTCAAACATGCATACTGGTCATGATCATAACACGTTTTCAAATTCACGTTTCATACACCAATACAAAATATACAGCTCACAGTGGAATAATTATGTCAACATAAAGATATAAATGATTAAAATCTCATACTGACAATCATATCATAAGTACTAGGCACTGAGGCCAAACATCACATAATCTCATTCATATCCAAATAAAAGAGAGTAATAACAAATGTCTCTCAAAACAAATCAAATATGAGTTCGAATATCTCCCGTGTTACATAGACTAGAGCAATGACTCACTACCTAGAAATAAACAGATAAATAAGGATTTAACTCCTCCTTTAATCCTAGAAATAAGCACCACTATGTCCAGTACCTGGGCGATATTATAAAACATCATTCCAACAGAAGGGTGATAATTCATATCATAATGAAAATATATAATCATAAGCAATGTAAAACATATATACACCAATATGAATCTATCACTCTTCATAAAACCATGTATTAGGCATAACATAATCCAATATATCAATCCACATATACAACATAGCTCATCAATTCATATTCCAAATGAAATTCAATTCCAATTACTATAATTGTACAATTAAATTAATTATCACATGTTGCACATCAAAACACCATATTCACACTAATATTATATAATGGGTGATAATGCAACAATTCACATCGACCCATGTGACTCTAATGAAACTCAAATGCATTATGCATGTGGTACTAATGTTATCCTTACCGGTCCTGTCGGGTCCACATCTCCAAGACAGACAACCACCAATAAAAGTCTGATTCAACCTTAAGCTTTCAAACCCCATTCAACATTAGGTTTGGAACAAGTCAATAGTTCCCACAGAACTACCAAATCTTGCCTCTTGACACAAATGATGCATGTACATGTGTAATCTCAACAATTCATCACATAATTCAACACGTTTTGAATTATCTTCACAACATTGCATAACATACATATTTCATGCCAATCATTCACATATACACAATCTCATAATACAAATTATCTTAACACATTATTATAACATGTAGCAATTAGATATAATCCATGTTATATTCAAACATCATCAAATTTCAACACTTACATACACAATTCAAGTGTTAAGTTTCTCATTAAAACGCTTCCAAAACCAATTCGAGTCAAGTACAAATAAATTATTAAAATAGATATAAATCTGTGATAAATCATAACATACAAGATTCCAATCCCATTCATACATAAAAATAAATTTTCAACTTGCAGTCACCTGCGCTAAGTGTCCTAACCCGTGTCAAGCGCCCCCTGCAAAAACCAGAAAAATTTCTGTGAACAACATTCTGTCCATACACGAAAATCCACTTTGAGACATGTTCTACTGCCCATTTTTATCAAATAAACATATTTTAATATGTATACATCATAGGGAACCTATTTATATCATAAAACTATATTTCAAAAACCTAATTTCCAAATCTCTAAATCAATTTGGGTGATTCAAAACCTAGAAATTCATATACCCAATCCTATTACATGTTACTACTCATCATATACTATCATAATACCATAGATTCTCACTCTTACCTTGAGTGTAGAGTCTTTAGGGTTGCCTCTTCACTTTTCCCCGTTTCTCCTCTTTCTCCTCTTCTTTTATCTTCTCTTCTCTTCTCTATTTTTATTTTATGACAACACTAATTCTAATCCCCCTTCTTACTACTATATTTCATTAATGGGCCTAATTCTACTTACTCATTCTATTATGACATAAAGCCCAATTATAATTATTTACTATTCTTACTTATAACTCCAATTATTCAAATAACACATATATTCAAATAATTCAAATACTCACCAAATCACACAATTAAATTAATTACTATATAATATACTAATTAATAAAATAATTAAATATTACTAAATAAAAATAAGAGTGTTACAGACGACGTATACGAGTCACCCTCCTAAGGATTACCACTCTCCTACTCTTATTAAGCCCGTTACAAATATATCACTACAATTATGTTAATAATTTTTACTGAATGATAGTTTATTAATATTATAAGTATTTTTACATATTATTCAATTTGTAAGTATTTAACGATCAAATATCATTCTCAGACGATGAATTATATGACTGATGTCTGTGTTAAACAAATTATTTTTTTGAGATTTATGTGGCAAATGTGAGTGTTTTGTAAGATATTGGAAGACTTATAATTTGTTTGATATGATTTTGGACAATATATTTGATGGTTTTATTTTTTAGGTAAATTTGAACCATTTGATGGGTTTGATTTTTGGTGAAAAAAATGAATATGCATATGTAATAATAATGAGTTGATATAATTGGAAACCCAATAATTAATTTTCTTTTATAAATGTGAGAAGTATATCGAGCCATTAAATTAATTTGAATAAGCAATGCAAGAATAATTTTTGTAAAAGGAAATATATGAGGATTAATAAAAAGTGGGGCCGTTTTGTGGAAGTTGAGTTTCAAGAATGAGGAAGGTAAAGACAAAAGCAGGAGATCAAATCCCAATTTAACCCACCGGAGACACCAGTACAACTTCTTACAACACCGTATTTCTGACACGCTAATTAACCTCTTAAATTATCATCCATTCCGTTTTTTTTATTTTTTTATAATTTTCCAAGTCCAACAAGAACAACAACAATAATAATATTAAAAATAACGTCACAGACGCCGACGACCAACCAAACCAAGCAGCTCATATTGTCTGTCCACACTACCATTCTCTCTCTCTCTCTCTCTCTCTCTCTGTTTAAACCTTCAACTTTTACTTACGCTTACATAGAAAATTCATTTTCTACCCTCAGATCGTGCTTCTACTTTTCTGTTTCGCTCCTGCAAATTTCTGTGAGCTCGCTTTTTCTTAACAATGCGCTACTTTTTTTTTTCTTTTTTTTTTTTGAATATCAAAATTAATTGTTCTTGTTGTTGTTCTTGTTGTTCTTGTGTTATGTCTCAGTTCTTCATATTCATGGTTTAAGGTAGAATCTTGTTCGGTTATTTATTTATTTATTCTCAATTTTCAACTTATATGTTATTTTTTGTTGTCGGTGATTAATGTTTCTTTACTTGGATCTGATTAAGCTACTACGTTATTATCAACTTTTATTTAAATATATTTAATTAACTTTCTTCTATTTTTAGATAAACATAACATTGTTTCATTTTGGAATAACCAATGTTTTTTTTTTTTTTTTTGGTTGTCAGAATTTTGGAATTGTGAAAGGGAAAACAAAACATGTCTGGTGGAACGCAGAATAGTTTGAGGAAAGCACTTGGTGCTCTTAAGGATACAACAACAGTTTCATTAGCTAAAGTCAACAGTGGTTACAAGGTAGAGTATTTTGCATCTCTCTATGATTGGATCAATTGGTGGTGAGTTATGTGATTCATTTTGATGGATCATGTGGCCTGTCGTGATTTCGATGTACTTATTGGCTACTGTCAATCTAAACTTTGTACTATGTTGAATGGGATCATGTGTTTTGTGTGTGTTTGTTCTCAACTTGGTTTACTGTTTTTTTAGGAGTTGGACATTGCTATAGTTAGAGCTACGAACCATGTTGAACGCCCAGCTAAGGAAAAACACATTCGAGGTTTGTGTTCGCTCCAAATCTTTATGATTTCTTATGTATTGTTTCCTTTTTTGGACGGAATTCTGTCGGGGTTTATACCAGTTAGCACCCTCCTACGGGGATTTGTTTGTCACATGTTTTGAACCGAAGACATCCCACTTATTTGCTTGTCGTCGATGCAATTTATGGTTGTTTGTCGTGATCCGTGTATCACACTATCACTTACTTTATGTTTATACTATTTTATGCATATTTGTAGACTTTATGTTTAATTTTAATTGTTTCTGTGATCTCTTTTGCAGCTATATTTTCAGCGATCTCAGCTACGAGACCTAGGGCTGATGTTGCCTATTGCATCCATGCTCTGGCCAGGCGATTATCGAAGACGCATAACTGGGCTGTACGTGCACCATGACTTACATTTTATCCTTTTTCTGTACAGAACACAAAGTTTCCAATCTACTCACTCAATTACCGGGAATATGTAATCAAATTTTTATGAATTATTACTTATTATCAATGTTGTCAAATAGCGGCGCTATGGCGTAGCCGAATTTGAACAATTCGTCCATGTTTTGTGATACACTATTTAGTACAAAGTGTTGTCATTTAGTTGCTATAGCGGCGCTATTAGACAAAAAACATAGTGAAATTTGAACCAACCGCCATTTCTGCAATCCACAATTGACTATGCTGATAATTGCCTTTTGCCTATATTTCAACGACCTCACAGCTGAAGATTGTGGCTTGAACATCACATGTTACCTTAAAGCCAAATAGAAAAGGGAAAATGAATATCTAGTTAACATTTTAAACAAAAAATCTGCTGAGAAACATATATGTGTTTTGTGTCATTCTGAAACTGCAATATTTATATAGCACCTTCCACAGTTATCTTTTATTTTTTCAGTTGCATTTGCAATTTTTGTAGTTCTCTCGTATTTCAATACTGAGCACGTGTTTGCGAACGCGTTTGTGTCGTTTTATTTGATTTGTTGACAAGTGGTTTTATCTATAGGTTGCATTGAAAACCTTAATCGTCATTCACCGTGCTTTGAGGGAGGTGGATCCCACATTTCACGAAGAACTCATTAACTATGGAAGAAGTAGAAGTCATATGCTCAACATGGCTCATTTTAAAGATGACTCCAGTCCAAATGGTGCTTGCCTTTGATCTTTATACTCATCATTGATCATATTATAAATTTAATAATTATCTTAATTGACTTTGCATTTTCGTTTGTTGTTTTGTTGCTCAGCATGGGATTATTCTGCATGGGTTCGCACTTATGCATTATTTTTGGAGGAACGGTTGGAATGCTTTCGTGTGTTGAAGTATGACATTGAGGCAGATCGTCCTGTAAGATATTTTCTTCTTCTTTTCTAGTCTTCACAGTAATTGTTATTTCGTCCCATCACACACATCATACATGCTTTTTGAATAAGGAAAGTTTAACAGTTGTGAACTTTGTCACAGAGGACCAAAGATTTGGATACTGCAGAATTGCTAGAGCACTTGCCAGCTTTACAACAACTTCTTTATCGAGTTGTTAGTTGCCAGGTGAGCTTTTGATCCAACTGGTTTGGTTTTAATGAATATCTTTTACAACGCCAGCAATATTAATATCATATACCAATTGTTTTGTGAATTTTCTTTGTTGCAGCCACAAGGGGCAGCTGTACATAATTTTGTGATTCAGTTGGCACTCTCACTGGTAGGTTGTTTAATCATACTTAATTTTTTTGTTTGTTTTTACTTCCATCACCTTTCTGAACATATACCTTATATTGCGAACAGGTTGCTTCGGAAAGCATTAAAATTTATCAAGCTATTAGTGATGGAACTGTTAATATGATTGATAAGGTATGTTATCTTCACGAGTGAAGCTTAACGAAATCTCCTATGTATTTACGAGACTATTGTGATTGCGACAGTTTTTTGAGATGCAACGTGAAGATGCTCTGAAAGCTCTTGATATATACAGAAGGGTTGGGTTGCAGGTATTTCTTATGACAAACCTTTCTTGTTCTATTATCCAACTCATTCATGTATTTCAGAAAGTTATGTTTAAACATGCTTTATATGAGTTCAGGCTGAGAGATTGTCGGAGTTTTATGAAATATGCCGTAATCTTGATATTGGACGTGGAGAGAAGTTTATTAAAGTTGAGCAGGTTGGTTAAATCTTATACCATACTTGTTTTTGCCAATTTTTTTTTTTTTGATTTTCTTACGAAGTATAATACTAAATGAACTGATTGATGATATTGAAGCCGCCATCATCGTTTATGCAAGCCATGGAAGACTATGTGAAAGATGCTCCCCAGGGAGTAATAGTTCGCAAGGATCAGGTATATATGAACATCAATAGCTATTTTATATTGTAATATTTGTAGCTTTATGTATGAAGTGCAAGTGTGTAATTTTAGAACTTTTTTCTATCTTGACGGAGTCGTTATTCGTACGCTTTAAAAACTTATACTGACTGGTGCTTCGATTTTTATTTATGACAGTCCATTGACAACAAAATTGCCTCTCCAAAAGAAGTTTTGGCTATTGAGTATAAAAAGGAACCAGAAGTGCAAGAGGAACGTTCACTCTCTCCCCCTCCACAGCCTGAACCTGTGAAAGTGGAAACACCACCAGTTCAACCACCACCTGATCTTTTGGTAATTGCTGTGTTTTTTTGTGTGCCTTTGTTTTTGGTAATTACGGTTGCTTTATCTATAACATTGGCCGCTTTTGCTTGCACTGAAGTTTTTTCTCTCGTTTTGATTTTACTAGAATATGGAGGATCCTGTTCCAGCAGCTGCAGAGTTGGATGAGAAGAATGCCTTGGCTTTAGCCATTGTTCCCGTCGGTAATTTGTTACATTTAGACTTAAGCTATTAAAGGATAATAATCATGTGAAATGAACTATGCTCCAGTATCGCTTTCCTATTTCTGCATTGTGTTGGTAGTTACAAACTTATGATTTAAGATTAGAATGTTGGGTTCAATATTGAAATTAGATGTGATGTCTTGATCTCAGTTTGTAAAATGTTTTGTTAATGGTGGTTTCAGCTGATCAACAACCTTCTGCTGTTTTAAATCATGCAAATGGAACCACCACTGGGTGGGAATTAGCACTTGTTACGGCTCCTAGTTCAAATGAGAGTGCTGCAGCAGCTAGTAAATTGGTAATGCTTTCTTCTTCAATCTTCCCTCGGTCCCTTTTTATACGCTCCTTTGCCAATTATGGATATGTTTCTATTAATAAGTGAGATTATCTATTCGGTATTCAGGCTGGAGGTTTGGACATGCTTACACTAGACAGCCTATACGACGACGCACTCAGAAGAAACAACCAAAACGTTAGCTATAATCCCTGGGAGCAAGCACCGGGCGGAGGCATGATGCAACCAACAATGCACGATCCGTTTTTTGCCTCTAATAGAATGGCTGCTCCACCTTCAGTTCAAATGGCAGCTATGTCCAACCAGCAACAATCTTTCATGTATCAACAACAACAACAGCAAATGATGATGATGCCCCCTCAACAACCATCCGGAAATCCTTTTGGAAATCCTTACGGATCCGCTGTTCATCCTTATGGCTCAGGTATGCCAGTTCAATCATACAATCCATATACAGGCCTCATCTAAACACATACTCCGTGTTTGCGAAGAATGGACAAATTTGTATCATAGATTCCGTGTGTGCCATAGATAGCTAGAGTGAAATTCTTTATGAATAAATATCAGAAGAGGGTTTTTGCTATATGATTTTTTATGTACAAGGTAATTGTTTTTCAGACTTAGAATTTGTTTTTATCCCTACTGATTGGTTACTGAAAATCGTTCTTCATTGAATTGGAATGGTATTGTTTTCAGTTTCCATTCCATGTATATGGTGGGAAGTATATTCATTGTGTTTGTCACACCAACATTTATCAAATGAAAATATATGTCAAGCCTAAGAACTGAGTAAATTTGGTGTAAGGAACAATTTTTCATTCATTGCTTTGTGTTAAGTTATATTCTGTAACATGTTTCTACTTTCTACAAATATTTAATTTTTAGTCTCTTTTTTTCTTTCTACAAGGGTGAATTGAAAAATATATAATTTAAAGTCTTAGAATGAGACGTTGTGTTTGATTTTAAGAAATGAAAGACGAGACAAAAAAATTATACATATTTATGATAGATTTTTCTAGAAGTAAGACATTTCCAAGTTAATATTAGAGGAATAGAACAAAACCTTGAAATATTTTGAATTTTGTAGGATGCAAGTGACAACTTTATAGGGGTATAGTGAAGTATGAAAAGTGTGCCTACCCTTATGCATGTAGAAAGTGTATACTTTTGCACCTAATATATTACATTTAAAATATATTCATTCTGTTTTTAAAATCTGTTTATTGTTGGTAAAAATATATTTTTATCAACAATAAACTAAATTTTTTACCAACAATAAACTAAAATTTCTATTTAATATATTTTTACTAACAATAAATAGATTTTAAATGTATTACATTTAAAATGTGTTTTTATTACATTTAAAATATTTTCATTCGTACAAATTTTTATTTAATATATTTTTATTACATGTGTGAAAGTGTATACTTTTGCACCTAATATACCAACAAAAGTTTACCCACTTATAAATATTAAGCCATGATTTCAACTTCAAAATTACCTACACCCTGTTAATAAGAGGTAAGAAATACATGTATACCGTTTAAATAATTGAAATTCTTGTGTGCTTCACAAGAAAGCAAATATAAGCAAGTATATTAATTCGCTGCTGCATCAAAGAGTGTGGCTGATGACATTTCAAAAATATATTTTCGGAGACATTCTGAAAATGTATTTTCAAAATAAATTTAGTTGTAAAATTAGAGTGTCATTTTAAAAACAAATGAGCTGAATATATATGAATATATATAAGGTGCGTTTGAAAATACATTCAGAGAAATTGAGGGACATTTTTAGAATTGTATAGAGTTCTTTTCCACCTCATAGGGTGGAATAAGAAATTTTCTTTTCTTAATAAATTTGACGTGTGGTAAATACAATAGTGGATACTCTGTTTGTGGCCTGCTTGCAGTGATATGCGTAAATTGTTTTTTTATTTATTTTTGATATGTAAAGAGTCCATATTTACCCAACTGTCTAGCTAGGGCATTGATAAGCGTTCTTACTTGGCCTAAAGACTTTTGAGAAGACCGATTCTGATACCTTCGAATTCGATTACACACCTCTGTGGCTTTAACTTGATTGTGGGGTGAATGGAGTAAGTCACCTTTCATGATAGGAAATATAGTTAATCCATGCGACTCAAGATGACTTCAATTACCCCTTAGCACGTGGCTCACCATGTTCTATGACTGAAAGCATTGGGCCAGACTTAAGATCCTTTGTTTGATTCATCAAACTGTTTAACATTTTAATTGGTTTCTTAAATTCTCTGATTGATGAGGTTTCAAATATCTTTTGTTAGACGACGATGACTTATCTAGAGGGAGGGGGGGTTCTCGGTTTGGTCACGCTCATCTAATGTAATTTGTATTAAAAAACAGAACAATACAATTTACCGAACACTTGGGGCGCAATCAATTTTTCAGATTTTTCTTTGTGAACTTTATTGATTTGAAAACAACACTTACAATCAAAGTGATTATAAGAATATCAACAAAGCAATTTAAACTTCAACACTCAAAGAAAATTCTATACGGATTGATCAATCAAACAATAAATTCAACAAATTGCATATAGAAAGTAAATGAGAGAGAGAGAGAGAGAGAGAGAGAGAGAGAGAGAGAGAGAGAGAGAGAGAGAGAGAGAGAGAGAGAGAGAGAGAGAGAGAGAGAGAGAGAGAGAGAGAGAGAGAGAGAGAGAGAGAGAGAGAGAGAGAGAGAGCGACACAAGGATTTATTTAGGAAGTTCACCAATCGTCCTCGCTATGGCTGCGTCTCTCCTCAATTTCGTTTTTGAATTGAGATAAATTTCTTACTTTGTATAAAAATTGATTACAAGAGAAGTGTTTAAGAGAAATCCTACAAACCCTAACCGTTTGATGTTAATTCAACCCCTTCTCTTATTTTGGTCTAGAGAAAGACCAAGACACAATAGATCCAACCTATTCACCACTTAAGCTACTCCTTTGCAAGATCCCAAATCTCCAAAGCCTTCAATCGAGCAAATTCAATTGCGAATATTGACTACAAGAACTTTCAATACGATTCACCGTCTCGCGTTACTCCTTTGCAAGATCTCCAATCTTCAAAGTTTTAACTTGGTCGAATCCCCTATTACGAAGTCTTGAATAACCCCCCCCCCCCCAAATCTATCAAAGATCTTGGAGGACAAACCCTAGGTTTTTCTAGATGAAATCCCTCCATAATTTTCAACCTAATATTTTCGGTTCGATCACGCTTATCAACCTAATTAGACGTTATGAACCTATTCTAGATGACACCCCATAAATAATGATTATGTGTAATTTATTAGTGTGTATGAATAGGTTGGAGGTTGAAGTTGAAGAGCAATGGTGGTAGGTATTTATAGTTTAAAGTTGAAGAGAAATGGTTGAAGTTGAAATGATGGAAATTGAAGGTAGAGAAAACACAAGAAATGAGGGGTTTAAATTAGGTTTATAGAAAATATCCCCCCTTTAGAAATTCTGAGCACTCAAATGTTAATAATAATAAAGACAATGAAGAGTAAAGGACACAAGTGATTTATCCAGGTTCACCTTAACAAAGTTAATCCTATCCACTCCCTTAAGGATAATTTCACCTTCAACAAGGACTTAACCCATTATAACCAAACTGATTACAAATGCACAAGAAATGACCGGTGACTAACAACCAATGACACGTTCAGTGATCCAATCAGATATAACGTTCATTAACCTAATAAGATCAGATCAACATGATCTCTTACCAGAATTTCGCAATGAACAACAACCACTGTCTTCTTGAGATCAGACCTTCACTCAGTCACTCAAGGAACCTTTAAATGATATGTCCAATGATCTGATTTAACGAATATAACAATCATTTACCCAATAGAACCAAACCACTTAAGATCTTATAATAGGATTTCCCATAATGACCAGCAACCACTGTCTTCTTGAGATCAGACATTCACTTGGTCACCCAAGGAAACTTCTAATGATATGTTAAGTGATCCGATTTATTGAATATAGAAATCATTGACCCAATAGAATGAGATCACTTAAGATCTCCTATCAGGATTTCTCATAATGACCGCAATCATTATCTTCTTGAGATCATACCTTCACTTGGTCACTCAAGGAATCAATCAACAATAGTTGATAATGTTTTTTTTTTCTGTTTACATGTTTGCTTCTTCTAAGCAGATTACACAAATAATTTAAGCACATATTGTTTAACACATTTTTTAGCAATAACTCTAGTATTAAAATAATTTACACAAAGAGATTAGAACTATAACACAATATGAGCAATAACTCTTGTGTACATTACAATTTTCTATCAAGATATATTTGATCAGAAGTTGGGTAGCATCTTATAGTGTTCTTCTTCTTCTTCTTCTTCTTCTTCTTCTTCTTCTTCTTCTTCTTCTTCTTCTTTTTCTTCTGGTTGAGCAAGTTACGAGCAATAACTCCTTGCTTCTTCAGAGATATACCAAGATGTGTATGATGATAGTTGGAGTATCATCTTGTAGTCTTCTTCTTTATCTTTCTTTATTTTCTCTCATTTTTGTATAGTCGTCTTCAACATATTTAGCATTACAGCTTTGACAGCTTCAGCATCCACAATATTTCAGCTTTGTGGCCATGGGCACTTTTCTCCAAATCTTTGATCTTATTTTATAGCCTTGAAAGAGAGAGACGTTATGAGGATAGAATTTTTTTTTCCTGCACCAAGGGTTAGTTCTTCAACGGATAGAATAAGGTATAAGAGTTTAGATAGTATAAAATATTATTTTATGTATCCTGTCACTTATCAATGATAGCTTTCCACCTTTTCTCTGAATAATGTTTTTCTAATAAGTTTGTAAACAAAGATCCGTTAAGTAAAGAAAGATAGATGGAAATGAAGTCGTTTGTTCCCAATTGTCACAATGAGAGTGGTTGACAATACAATACAAAAATATTGTCCTTACGCCACCCTAGAGGGTGGAGGTCACAGACACTTTATGTACCTTTTGTACATCATCCCACGTTAAGCATTTGAACTTTTTATCTTTAGAGGCTTCAGATAATTTGAATGTTTGAAGCTTGTTGTAGAAGAATCACTCTTAAGTCTTAGAACCTAAGTCTTGGAGTCTTCATAACTTATTCTGTCAGAACCTTGTCTTCAGAGTCTTCAACACTTGGTTGTAAGAACTTGTTTTTCTTCAGATCATCAGAACTTGTTCAGCAAAACCTCATCTTTATAATCTTCAGAACTTGTAACACACAAAAGCAAAGCTTTAGAAGGCCTCCAAAGCTTAACCACCAAGTAACGATCAATGTTACACCCCAAATTCTAGATTAATTGTTTAATTGATTAATTTAGTATGATTATATGAGTCTATGTGAAGTATTTTATGTTTTGATGATTATGTGTGAGTCTTTATGGTGATTTGTGACATTATGATGGATATGAAGTGTACCATGATGATTGAGATAA